ATGAAAATTTAAAACACCCCATAGCTTTCAAAGATCACAATTCGCCATAATGTATCAAAACTCGCGTGTGTTCCAGACTTCCCACTGGATTGCGATCATATGAAAGCATGAACACTTCCTTTCCTGCACCGGACGTTTTTGTTTCTTGAGTAATAAAGAAAAACCTACTAAGATTTAAAACTCAAAAACTGATACTTCTTATACAATACAAATGGCAATTCTATAAAGAGCAAAATGTAGGCAAATCTTCACACCATACTTGTTTGTGAAGACAGTAACAGCCTTTCTTGCGGCAAATCAAATTAAAGGCACAATCAGCTCTCTTTTAGACGTCATTTCATGGCCCAGTTCATTCCAACTGGGATGTGAAACACAATGACTTATCCAGAGACAAAAGAGTCCAAAGGACTAAATATTTCCAGATGGGAAAAAGCCAGCCTACATAAACAAGATCCCCTCTAGCCTCATCAGGCCAGCTCAATATTATCATCCATTTTTATTATTTACACATCTATTATACAGTATATGTAAAGCCTGGCAAAAAACAAGGTTAGAAATTAGTTGTTTAAATACAAGCACTGACTTACAGAGTAAGAGGAAAGGTTTCTAGAAGTCCCAGTAGAAGTAATCACTGCCTAAACCAATTGCATTATTACCTAAAGTTTTGCTAACAAAAGAACAATAAAGGAACAAAAGTTGAAAAACAATCGCCGTTATCTACCTGGTCTCATTCTAGAGAGCACTCACCATGCACTGTAAATAAACTTTTTCTACACTTATGACAGCATTATATGTGTGGATCTAATTTTCTCAAACTCTGGCATATGTTGAAAACAGAAGCTGAAAAAACAGCTAACAAAGTTCTGTCTCTGTCAATAAACAAGAATGTACCACACAATGACAAATGCCAAGCTGGCAAAGGAAGACAAGTCACAGCAGGGTCAGTCATGCCACTAGGGACACCTTATATAATCGATGAAAGGGTTGTGCAAATACAACCACCGCTGAATCCATCCAATTAGCTGACACACAGGAGGGGTAATGCTTACCAAGGCCAATCATCTGTTCAAGATTAGTCTGATCCTGGTTTTAGAGTCATGGACTCTAAGGTGCATGCTGTACACAAACTTTCTTCTGTTGTCTGATGGAAATTCAGCACCTGACACGAAATAAACTATACTCCACAAACATGTTCAGGAAAATACATGTCTTTTAATGTTCAGAATCATCTGTAAAGGCTTGCAAGTAAATTGATCACAATTTTAACTGAATGCAACAATCAACAACAGCAGTGTTTAACGGGCTTTATGCCAGAAGGACAGAGAGGAGACTTCATAAAACTAAAACCTAAGTAATGCCTGCTAGCTCCTAATCAAATTAATGTCTGAGTGCCTAATTTAGAGCTGCATGGAGTTTCTCTGTCCCACTCAAAATATCAATGAGATAACATACATGAGACCTCTAAAAGACAGCAGGATTCAGTGTTCTGTAGCTCTACACTTTAAGATTTCCTAAAGGTTTCATTTTTACACGTGAATGAGGACACTGCTATAAAACCTAAACATAAACCTAGCTGAACACCCAAATAGTGCTAGAACAAAATAAATATCTCTGTAAAGTGTCTTTACACAATTAAAGTGATTCAGAACAAGTCCGTTTTGGATCACAGGCAGACCAGCCCTGGAGGGTGACCAATATTACTATCTCTGCAACTCAGAAAAAAAAAGTCTCAGCTATGGAGTCAGCCAATCAGATAAGGGAGGTAAACAGCAAGGGGAGGGGTGCCTACTGTCTTACATTGGACTTGTTTAGTTTTTTACGTTACAAATTAGTACATGAGCTCCCCATTGCAACTCTGTTGTCTGCTGTTACCCTGCATTGTTTTTATATATTTGTACTTTCAAAATCTCATCTTATTCAGAGCAGCCTTTTTAATACTCCAAACACTAATAACCACATGTAAGGGGAGACTGTACACAGCTCACTATCACAGCTAATGGCATTTCATGACTAATAACATATAGACAGACTGTACTTTGGTCTCTGAATTATCAGGCCTCCCATGACAAATTCAGCAGTAATTAAATCATTAATATAGTCCTCAGGAGGGTTCTTTCTCTAGTTTTAATTAATGTGGTGCTTGACACTGCCTTTTTTATGTATTCATGATAAGCACAATATTATTTTAGAAACCAAAAGGTCTATATAAAGGTGTTCTAATGTGAGACTGTTATGGTGTATACAATTATTCTAAGCATCACGTCTCACAGAAGGAGCCTGGCTTAGCAAACCAGTGACACCAGACATTTAAGGGAACTCCAAAGTTAAAGATGTAAATAGTGTGCTTAGAATTCCTAAAAATGATCACCTTATCATCACCAGATTTCTTGAATATTGAAAAGTGAATATTGGAAACATATACCTGCTTTCTAAAACAGTCTCCCGACAACAACTGTGGATTTAAGATGTTATGGTTATCATCCAGACCTGAATACATCTTTAGAAACACTTTCATTGAATAAAAACAGCTCTATGAATGTCATTTTAACTATTACAACATAATTTACTTTTATAGGTTACCTATAGAGCTCAAAGAGCTGAGTGAAATGTGTTATTTTACTAAGCACGTGATTTGAAAGCCATTAATTAGCAACCATGTAAAACTGCCGCGTGTGGTTAGTGTTTTTATGTTTCCACCTGCCAACGTCCTTCATCTAAGAGATATTAATCCAGTTACTAAAGCTTCAAGCGAACACGGTGGCAGTGTTTTAATGCTTATGGACAGGAGAAAGTGACACTGTCCTCCTACAAATTCTGAAAAAAGGGAACCCTTTTTTTATTCAAACAGCTTAGACTTTGTGATTAAGTTAATTTAGAAAAAATAATTAAGAGTAATAGCAGAATTCATACAACAGACCCAATCAAATTAAGAGTAGAACAAAAATTATATGCTATAAGCCCTAGTGAAAACACCTTTGGCATGTTTTGAAAATGTCCACAGAAAAACAGAGACTCAAAGGGATTTGGGCAGCGAGTTACACAATTACTGCACAAGACAAGACTCTATTGCCTATAGTGCCGCGTCTAAGATTGAGACGATCCGAATAAGTAGATAAAGTGTTAGGCAATAATCATACAGATGACTTTTAATGTCACCTGAAGCTAGACCATTCAGTGTTATACTGTACATATGAGCAGGAGATGATTACATTACTGTTAGGTCATTACATCAAAAACAAACTTTCACGGAGCTTTTGATCAACACTTCCTAAAGATGCATAATGATATTTAAGGGACCACCACTGATTTAAATCTACACGGCAAATAATTAATCCAATGAACACGGCCATTACAGCTAACCTACCTGACCACCCCTCACCCTATGGAAGGATCTAAAATAAGCTAAGGATGCCAGGAGAAAGCTCTGATTTAACTGCACTTAAAAGTTGCTAGTTTTAAAGAAATGGGGGATTAAATCATCCACAAGCTCCATTAAAGCAACAAAAAATACAACACAAGACGAAAGAGGACACACTAAGTATTAATTTTCAGATACTCTGGTCATGCATGACATGCTCTGAAAATGTTATTATTATTATTTCATTATACTATATGCAATGAATTGATAAATTGTATTCTACTCAAGCTAAAAGAAGCATACTCATTATTATTGCTGTGCATATTTTGTATTTATATTGCATAGCTAATGAAGGAGAACAAACAGTTTTGGCTTTGGTTATAAATACTTTACACAGTTGTTAGTAATAAGTAGCTTGATGATTCCTTGGGGTGTTGTTAAATGGCCTGAGGCCAGGAACACAGTCCAATTACAGTTGCAAATACTTCTTAGCACATTTTTATAGACAAAGTTAACAATTGAACCATTTATAAGCTATTTATGGAAGGAAACAGGTAGTGTTTCACGAGTTGATCTCCAGCAGGCCACAGCTTGATTTCATGATCTTCTGACAATCTCTGCCTTGAAAATGAAATCTCTCTCCCTGAGTTTTCTGAATCATTACTATTACAGGTGTATATCTGACTGTATAACAATGTTCAAGTATAAGTGGTCTGCAGCCCTCATTCAGCACAAATCTCAATTGCAGATACTGAACAAAATACTAGACATTTTGTGACGATTATCAGCACACTTTGTATGTGGTCTCAAAGATCCTGCAGAAAATCAGAAAATAAAAATGCAGATTTGAGAAGTCGCTTGATTTTAGAAGTCACGCTTCAGTTAACAGGCGGGTGCTTTCTTATTGTCTTAAATGTATTGATAATGAAAAAAAAATTGTTAAAAAAGTAACAATGATAAGGAGTAAGAAACTTTTACACTTAAGAAACCGTTTAGGAAATGCACTGATTTCTTCACTTTTAGTGAAGACTACTTTTTGTTCTATTAAACAACTTCCAAATAAGCCAGAAGAGACTGTAGAACTGAAGGAGGAACAGTACTGTCTCGGATCAGATCAAGGAACCACTGCAGCCTAATTGAATATTCAAAGTATTAATTGTTAGTATATTTCTGTTGCTTCATCGCTGAGCTGATCTCCTAAGGATTCAGGGAGACCGCATGCTGTTGCAGAGTCCTTGATGCACCTCAGAGTTAGCGTGATGCTCATGTAGTAATTACTTTACCTTCCGTGCTCCGTGTTCCATGCGGGAATTAAACATGTTCAAACATGGAGGATGCCGGTAATTAATGAAGACCAATCATGAGTTTCAGTGAGTTTCAAACTCAAAATGCACGTCCATGCAAAAAGGTAATTTTTCCCCATGCTAAACTCCAAATGAACATGTCATTACCTTCTGTACTGAGCAACACACATTTATTTTGTGGCTTGTTTCAGAACGCTTTCGTTGTCACCCAGAATGTTTCAGCAACTCTGAAATGTACTTGCTTTATTGTAAAGCAAATGAATTTCAGTCGGATCCACTAATCTATTTTTCAATGTCGCCGATGTCCCGAGATAAAAAACTAATAATAAAAACCCTACCTGCACGGCCAGATATCGCTTGTCTTCCATAGCCAGCTTCTGAAGTCAGGGCCTTCCGAGCAGTCTTTACCTCCACAGTGCTGTTTTTTGTGTCGTTTCTGTGGAGTCGTGCTGTAGCTACTTGTGTCCCTCTCACTTTTTCAGCTCACTCCGTTTCTGTCTTTTTCTCCCGTTGCAAATGAAGTGGCGTCTTGCTTTGTGTTAATTCTCTACTAATCCGAGAACTTTTCAGCCCTATGAAAGAAACATGTGACAAGATGGGGGGGGTTAGGGAGGGGGGGAACACAGAAAAAGTTTTTTTAAAAAAAGCTTTTATTCAAATCCGGACTTTTCCTGACCAATTTCATATAGAACTGCAGTATTGATACTTATTGCAACCACTTATGTTGTTAAATTGACAACTATGTTGATAAAAATAAACACAACATTCAGCAGTAGCAAAACAGAATGGAGACACTTTAGCAAGCCTTGATGCTTAAGAATGGCCAAACACTGCCCTATATAACACTAAACGTGGGAATATTCTTCTGTTCCAAGGCTATGCATCCATAAACCTCAGCTGCAGAAATAAAAGACCATAACACAAAATTGGTGGAATGAATTTTTCTTAAGCCATCATGTAATGGTCAGCCAAATTTACAAAGACATGATATTTCTTTCCTTTTGGTTTGTTAAGAGAAGAAAGCAATAAGCTGAAAGGATTTACACTGCACCTTGCTGCTTTTCAAAGATGTCTTTGAACCAACACCAGAGGAACATTTTAAAGTGGAAAAAGTTCTGTACTATTCCAATATTTTGACAGGTGGTGTTTTATATCAAGATGTTAAAGGTGTCAGCCATCTGATGGCGGCAGTGTGGTTAGCCAGAGAAAGAAAAATATTTTCCATTCTAAATATCAGGCTGTTCCTAAGAGAGACAATTCAAAAGCCATTATCATATCTATAGTGTCAAATGCTGAAGCAATTCATACAGTATACCGTACATTTATAAAGAACTAAAGAGTTTGGTATCTTGAATCGTGATGCAGATAGCTTTGGGTACAATAGGTGACAGTACACAGAACAACGCCAAGTAAAGATCTAGAGTAAATTTACTCAAAATATTAGTTTGAAGACTTGGTACTTCAGACCTGCCACCTAGCACAATTCTTTGAAATGATAACTTAAAAGGTACAGCTTGCACAATGTCATTTATAACTTGATTTGACAAAATGTTATCTTTCTGTGAAGAACAAATCTTGCATTGTGACATTACACAGAAGTTACACAAACGTTGCTAATATAAAAGCTGAATCTAAAAAGTAGCCTTCTCATCTTATCTTAAAACAAGCTTCATAATTCCAGTTTAAGTAGCACAAGAATGCAAAAGAAAAATAGCAGGTAAGTACAGCTATTCTGGGTGTTGCCTATTTTCTATAGTCTTCAAGCCTGATGTGATAATAATTATAATTATCTATTCAACATGAGGTTTGTAAAGCATATATTAAGGAGAGCTGTGAAAGTACTTTCTCCTTATGTAAGGGACAGTGTACCATAGTGGGTAAGCCCTCGGGCTCATAAGTGACAGGTTGTGTGTTCAAGGCCCTCCTGAAGACAGGACTGTTGTAATCTTAAACAAGATACTTCACCCCAGCTGTATGAGTGGGGACCAGCAGTGCTAGGAGGTAAACCCTGCGATGGAAATCTCTCCTTTTCACACAAATCCTAAAAGATAAAAAAATAAAGTCTTCCAGAAATAGCCAAAACATTCAACAGGACACAAAAAACTGACTCTGTTAAAGTAATGTTGCATTAAAAATCTACCCAAACGAAGTCTAGTACAAGCTATCTAGCCATGTTCTAGACCATACCCTGGATTCTTTTAAGAAACAGCAGGATAAACCCTTGGATCAATCAACTACTAACCACCACATGGACTAGATGGTATGAATGGCCTCCACTCCTTAATCGTTCTTATGTGCTTACTGCCTATACAGGTAGATTTAAAATATATCAGTCACTAGAGGGCAGCATAATTAAATTCAGAAAAAAAAAACAGCAGGAATGGAAAGTCTATCACATTGTCCATGCTAACTGCAATAGAACAGAGAGCAAGATTAATTTTCTGATTGGTGTAATCTTGAGGTAAACAGAAGCACAGCTAGATGTTTGTTTCTTTTGAAGCTGAATGATGCTCTGATGAAGACCATCAAACCACTTCAAGAATATCAGAAAGCGCCTGGGCATAATGAAAAGAGTTTAATGATGTGAAGAAAAAAATTGAAACAAAAACACTGTCCTGAAATTTCTGATAAACGCTGCAACATTCCATTTACACAAGAGCCCCAAACATCTTACACACAGACATGCAGGGTTAAATAATTCCCTGTTTTTTCATGTGTGCGATGAAGCATCAGAATTAGTAAGTATGAAGAAAGATAGGAAGGCCATGCCCTTTCTAGTTTCACCACACAGATACTGGAAAAGGTCATGAAATCATCGCTTAAAATCCGCCCGCAAGCTTTCTGAACAGAATGTGAAGGTCTTTCTTTATCTTTTATTTGTTTAATCTGTTAAAAATACACGAGCTAAAATGCCAGGTTATCAGCCATAGAGCCAGGGAAGTCAAGCTGTTTGTTGTGCAACAAATGACACTAATGGAAAGACTATAAACACATTTTAACTTTCAAATCTTTGCACAGCAAAAAGTACCTGTTAAATACCTCACAAAAACCAAATTTTAGCTTTACACCAGCCTGACTGAAATTTTGTTTTCCCATACCTTAAAATATCAGCACCTGAATTTAATCACAATCCATACATGCACACAAAACATTACAGTTATGTCTGTGCCCTTAGTACCCCTGAATACACACACACAGTGTCAGTGAAGTGTTTTGTTATCCATCCACCCATTGCCAGTCCACTTTTCCTGGTGTGTTATTCATTTCACAGACATGTATATCGAAAGTGAAACACTCCTGTAACCATTTCTACAGCTAGGCACTTAACTGAAACAATCTGAACTACCTTGCTCAGGGATACCACAGCTTTGTCACAGATGAGATCTGAACCTACAGTCTTTCAATTATGGGTCCAGAGCAACCAAACATAACTCTACACCCCTGCCACACTGCACTCCTGGCTACAAAACAGGGCTTTACACAACCTGTCAGAATCACCAGGCACGTCCACAGGAGGAAAACACCCTTTTCTTCTGCTCACTGCACTCTGTTGCCTTTTTGATCCTCGCCCTTTCAATGGCCTCTCGGACAGACATGCATCTATGCTGCCAAGAAGGCTTGTCCTGTCAAGAGCAGCTGTTTGCCAGGTATCTGGGTCAAGTTTGCCCGGGCTCAGGTGGGTCTTCGGGGTGTGTTTCTAACATTCGCATTGTCTGCCATGGAACAGTTGTCACCTGTCTCTAGAAGATGGCCTCTGGGAGAAATGCATCCTCCACGTAGCCAGAGTAGCATGACATGTGAAGATGCACTTAGACAATTACACTCTCGCTAATCACCACCCACCTGTCAAGAAAGCTTTAAAGTTCATCAGTACTGTAACTTCTGGATAGAAGGCAGGAGTGTGTTGGCATTCACTGATGGCATTTTCCCCTAGACAGAAGACCCTGTCAAATCTTATATTATGAACTGGGAAATTAGGTCTCAGCAAAAGGACTGTTCTTATTGCTCTTAAGCCTGGGAACAAGGCCTGTGAATGACAGGTGTGAATTTTAGCTGCGTACCAATTGAAACCAAGGACATTTTTAAGGTAAGGTAATTTGTCAACAAATGACCCCAAAGGTGTTGTTTATTTAATGAACAGCATCTTTATGCTCATTGCTTCCCATCTCAATTTTATTGTAGGCCAGGTACTTGCCCAGTCTTGACATTTGTGTAAATCTTTTTTTTGAAAGTTTATCGTCAGATTCTAGATCACTGATAAAGTTATAAAGAGCAGTGGCCCTAATACATATCCCTATGTTACTCCACTAATTGGGCCTAGATCACACTAATCTGTACTGCTTTCTAAAAATATTATTTTATTATTATTAATAATTCAAATAATTATTAAAATAATATTATTATTTTAAAATAATTAAATTGACTGTATCTCTGTTAGTATGTGCAGTATACTTTGCTAGTAATGTTTGTCTTTTGTTGTATTGTTGTGATGGACTCTACTGCAAACCAAATTTCCCCTAGGGGATAATAAAGCTCAAAATGAAATGAATTAAACCCATCGGCTTATTCCTGATACAGGATAAGAAATTCTTCTGATTCTTTCCATTGGCGTGTAGACCTCTTTCTAAAATTATTTTATTCAGGCTGCAAATTCAGGTTTGCCCTCACGTAAATGCATCCTTAATAACAAGCCTTTGCAAAGACACCTGCAGCTAATCATAAACAGGTCTATCACTCAGAAGTTAGTGTCTGCTACAATCTTATTAAATTACACAATAAGGTTTTTTTTAGAAAATGCGACTCAACAAGGACGCCATAACTCTGTTCACAGTCTCCTGTGTAAATTACTTGGTACTTGCTGAATGTCAGGTTTTCCTTTTCCTGCCCTGTGCTTTTCAGAAGTACTGCAGCAGGCCCATTAAGGACAAACTGAAAAAAGGCATACCTCTTACCAACTGTAGAGTACATGCCAGGGAATGCTTATGAGGGTTTATACAGTCACAAAACATCTCGAAGGCCTAGACGTGCTTCAGCATACCGAACAGATACTTAATCATCCTGCTTACTCACTGTCTACAGAGAATAAAAGGAGGTAATAGAAGAAAACAAAAACATGATTCTTAATGCATCTGAGTTTAAAACCAAAAGCCTCAAAAGAGTAGAAACAGGCAAAGGTTCATTCCATGTTGAAAGGTATAGAAAACACCCACTAGGGGCCTTTTTTAGCCAAAACCTAATGGTTCTTTTCTTTACCTTTCAGCACGATGGAAAGAATCTACCTGTTCCTTTGCAGCAGAAGTACGCTGACACAGCCTATGCATGCTGATTTTCCCTACTCAAACGTCTTCTATTTTAGTATATCTGTGAAGAAAATCACGTATAACAAAATAAGGAAGGATATATCACCTAATGATTGCCATTGTTCAGGAAAACTTCATTGTCTACAAAAAAATCAAGAAACACGGTGTTTCTCTACACCTGTCTTTGTGCATCTGTTCCTTTAAGGCTCACTGAGTAATACCTACAGCTGCACCACTGAATTAGATTCAAGAGATACGTAACATATTGCAGT